AGTGAAACTGGTCTATACTGGCTTTATGTCTAGCATGGTGCTATGGTTTCGTGCCATGCATTCTATAATGGGTAATTAAGGCAGCTTTATTTTTTATCCACGTTTTCACTTTTGAATCCTAATGGCCCCCAGAGCGCAAGGAGTAACAGGAAAATTGATAGAGTGGCTGATCGACTGCTGATATTGTACGATTTTTTAATTACCTTTTCAAAATGCTTTAGTACTGTCGAATAATAAATAAACAACTGGATAAAAGGTAGTACAAGTTGGTTAAAATTCTTGTTTCTTCTGAATTTATACATTTTTTTATTAATTTTATCAAACAGACATAATTCATTATTTATTTCTCATCATTTTTATCACACCGATCAAGAAATAATTAAACAAATTATTTTAAAAATAATTAAAAAAGCGTTAAAATAGCCTAGCTAAAAAAAAATATCATTGTCATTACGGCTATGAAAATATCCCAAGCGGGAGAGAATCTACATTAATGCTTGAGGATAAGCAAGGAATTATGTAGGTTGACTATGAATATTTGACCATCGTTTTTTCTTAGTCTTTCAACATGTTATTTTGACAATAATTATTACTCATTTAAGTTTAAAAATCTATTAATTTCGTCAAGAAATTATTTAACGAACCTGAGTCTTAATGATCAAAGATTGTTGGCAACAGAGAACCCTCAAAAACATAAGAACCCTACTTAAACATATACCACTTAATGGCCCTATTGATCCTGGGAATGAAAACTTTCAAAACCCCGTCCTTCATGTTAGCTGTCATCTCATCAGTATTGTACAGATCCTCTGGTATCTCGTCGCTCTCGTACTTCATCTTGGTCTCTTCTTTCTGCTCCTCAAAATCCTTCTTCGTGCCCTCAATGCACAGCTTCCCATGGTTGACCGACACCTTCACATTTTCCCTTTTCACTCCGGGAAGGAAAACATTCATGTGCAGTCCATCGTAGTCAAGCTTGAACTTGGCGCCATAGCCGTTGATGTCCACGGGTTCGCCCCTGTAAGAAACTGCAATCACATTTACATTTCAGCAAAACAAACACAAAATTATTAGATGAGGAAAGGGGTGGGAAAAATCACGAGAAAATCGGTCCTGCATACGGAGGCGAAAAATAGATCCAAGCATATTTAAGAACATAAACGTATCCTGAAACAACCATATTTAATCGCGAACCACACACATGTACTCCTGGTGAATCAAAACCGTTTTCTGTACATACATAAGCTCAAAGTGTAGATCCGAATAGAGCACCAAACGCCAAGACGTTGAAAAGCTAAATCAGGTTTTTTCCATATGAAAAGAGTGAGCGAAGAGAACGGAAAAGTTTCTTTCTATGGATGCACAACTGGAATTTTCAACTTATTTACAAGTTTCAGGTGGGAAACAACCGATCAACACACGAACTGGTAAACCAAATCAGCTTAAGGCCACTCATTTACATACCATTCATATAAAGAAGAGAATATAAACAACGGCAAAAATGAGGGAAGGGAAATAGAAAACGGAAAACATGAAGCCGCAGAAAGAAGCGAAGTACCACCGTCGAAGAGCGAAATGAAGATGGGGAAACCTTCACCGACATCGTCATCGGAGCTGGTATCAGGACCGACGCCCGGGATAAAGTAGCATCTGTAGGTATCTGGCCGACTCGCCGTGAGGGGCGGAAACTGGACAGTCGGGCTGATGTGCTTCGTAGAGAGGAAGGAGGCAGTCGGATGGAGAGATCCGCCAAGGTGAGAGTTGATAAGTTTCAGCCGGTTGAGAAAGGGAGGGCGGTTGAGAAAGAGAGATGCTGCCATTGCTGAGATTGATAGGTTCTTACGACTATTAGAAGGTTGTTGAAGACGATGGAGCTAGAAAGGTGCCTTGGGCTAATTTTATACTGCCCGATGGAGGATGGAGAAACTTCTGATTAAAATGAAAACTGATTGGGCCCTGAAATGGGCCTACTTTTGTAAACCTCACGGATTTAGTTTTAGTTTTATTGAAATGATTACTTGACATCTGGCCCAAAGCGTTGCATTTTAACGAGTAAACTAAGAATGTTCACAAGTTATTCGAGCAATAAATTTTGATAATACTGAATTAAGTATTAGACATAAAAAACTCTAAGTCAAAAATTAACCACGTGTTATGAAAGCGGGTATGATTATTTCATGAACTGATGAAAATAATCTAAGTATAGAGTTAGATCCACAATGGAGTCCGAGTTTATAAACTTGGACAAAAAGCGTGGAAGAAGCTAAGTGACTTAAAAATTTTCTTAAGGATATTCCTTGATTAAATAAATTGTGCTCACTGTGAATCGGTTATTCAAAGGGCACAAAATAGTTTGTATAACAGTAAGTCTAGACATAGACGTCGAAGATTTAATTTCATAAAACAAGCTCGTGTGGGGGTTATATCGATTGAATATGTGAAGTCAGAGATAAATCTAATGGATCCGTTTACAAAAAGCATGAAACGAGCTAAGTTGTACAAACTGGTTAGAGGAATGAACTTAACAAAAATCAACAACAAACAAACGGTCTTAGCAGTAACTCGACCATGAGAATTAGAGATCCTGAAACCTTGGTTCAATGAAAAAATTAAGTTTTGACAGTTCAATGAAACATTTGAAAATTTCACTCATTCCAAGAACCGAAGTGTGAGGTTAAGTCGAGGACTTTTAACATTCCTATACCTACGGAAGGAGTAAAGATTAATACATTTATGGGAGAATCATCTTTGTAAGTGAGAATCAAATAGACCACTTCAATCGAACACTACTAAACTGAGATATGGTCCAAGGCCGGAATTAATGTGAGAACAAAAAATTGTTAGAGTTGTTGTGTGAGTACGTACATTGTCTTGGTGTACACGAACAGTCGGTAAGTTCAAAGTATCGCGCTATTAACCTGCTAGTATATCTGATAGTATTTCACTAAAGAATATTCAAAACCACAAGCTATCTAAGCTAAAGCAATGACAGTTCGCCGATACTCTCAAGTATTGCATTCATGCATTAATTTCATTCATGCGGATCGTGAGAAAATTAGTTTTGTTTCGATTTACCAATTACATTTTTCGTAAGTAAAAAAACTATTTTAAGGCGAATGATAAATTATTTCTAAGTGTTATATGTGGAATGATTGAGTTTAAGTAACTCAAAGGTTATAGGGTTAACAAATATTCTATTTGTTATGAATGTTTAGACAAATTGAACGATCCATAATCATGCATTATGTATGCTAGAATTGTTAAATGGCATGTTGGGGACTAGTAGAAAAAAAATGGAACTCAATTCCGTCCGGACGAGGGCATACCAGCTCCCAGTGCACAGCTGCACGCAAGGCCCTAGCTATCGCGGGCGCGACGGCCTATGCTGCCTTGCGGAAGGGCGCGATAGCTCGTCGCAGGTGCGACGAGCATGTGATACTAAAGCACCTGTTCATACCAAAAAGGCTTCTACTCACTTTTGGTCGACCGGGTACGCCCCAAAATATGTCTTTTGATGTCTTGAAACCCTTGGAGATGTGTTAGAACATTTATATTCTCATGAAGTGATATTGTTACATACACCAAATTTTTAAGAGCTTTTTGCATCTTTTTACAAAGTTCATAAATCATCCTGTGTTCTTTGTGTTCGCTTGTATCTTGAGAGTTTCGAAACTTGAGTATTGTTCAAAGAAGGTTTGTGTATTCGTTATATCTGCTATACAAAACCGAAAGTCGTTATATCTTAGAGGCGTTAGCCAAGAATCATGGATAATATACGAGACTATTTCGTCTTAAGGAGAACGTATCTTACGTGCCTCGACTTTGTTTTTTTTTTTTATGTTTTTCTTCTGATCTCTTAAGATATTTTCTTGAGATTTATGTACAAAAATTATAACAATATCATAATGTGAAAATGAATGTGGTGATCAAGGATAATAATCTATTTATAATTTAAATTTTAATTTTATTTTAAGGGAATAAGTGTCATATATTTTGAAAGTAGTTTTACCATTATGAACCTTGAACATATGTGACTTCAACATTTGAATTACTGTTATAACGAGTTGGACAAGTATACTTTCATCGACTACCTTTTAAGAATGCATTAGTACAGTCAAATAATAACTTAATAAATGGATAAAAGGTTGTACAACTTGGTTAAAATTCTTGTTTCTTCTGAATTTATACATTCTTTTTATTAGTTTTATCAAACACATATTTCATTAGTTTTATCAAACACATATTTCATTGTTTCTCATCACTTTTTAACTTAAATGACCATATCACACGGATCAAGAAAAAATTAAACAAATTATTTTAAAAATAACTAAGAAGAATGCGTTAAAAATAGCAAAATAAATAAATAAATCTCTGACTAATATGAAAATATTCCGGAGAGGCGGAGAGAACTACATTGATGCTGAAGTATAAGCAAAGAATTATGTAGGTTGACTATGAATATTTGACCATCTTTTTAATTCTTTCAACCTCTTATTTTGACAATAATTATTACTCATATAAGTTTAAAAATCTATTAATTTCGTCAAGAAATTAATTAACGAACCCGACTCTTATTGACCAAAGATTGCTGGCAACAGAGAACCCTCAAAAACATAAGAACACCACTTAAACATGCAGCAGCTCACAAAAAACACACTATATAAACATCCAAACACAAGTTCATCAAACAAGCCATAAATCCTAACAGAAATGTTATTCTCTAGATTAGTTCTAATTATACTACCTACTCAACCTTGATGGTCCTCTTGATCTTGGGAATGAAAACTTTCAGCACACCGTCCTTCAAGTTAGCTGTCATCCCGTCTGTATTGTACAGACCCTCCAATATCCAGCCATCCGGGCTCTCGTACTTCATCTTGATCACTTCATCTTCCTCCTCAAAATCTTTCTTCGTGCCCTCAATGCACAGCTTCCCACGGTTGACCGACACCTTCACATCTTCCCTTTTCACTCCCGGAAGGAAAGAATTGAAGTACATTCCGTCATGGTCAAGCTTGAACTTGCCGCCATAGCCGTTGAGGTCCAAGGAGTCGAGGCGGTACCCACCACAATAAACTGCAATCACATTTACATTTCAGCAAAACAAGCACAAAATTATTAGAAACGGAAAAGGGGTGGGAAAAATCACAAGAAAATTGGTCCTGCATACAGAGGCGCAACATAGATCCAAGCAGCATATTTAAGAATATAAATGTATCCTGAAACAACCATTTTTTTGTTCTTCTAATTTAAGAGGCAAAATCGACTAGATCTAAGGTTGCAGGAACAATTAATCGCGAACCACACACATGTACTACTGGTGAATCAAATCCGTCTTCTGTACATACATAAGCTCAAAATGTCTATGAAACAAGTGTAGATCCGAACAGAGCACCAAACGCCAAGACGTTGAAAAGCTAAATCAGGTTTTTCCATATGAAAAGAGTGAGCAAAGAGAACGAAAAAGTTTCTTTCAATGGATGAACAACTGGAATTTTCAGCTTATTTACAAGTTGCAGGTAGGAAACAACAGAACAACACACAAACTGGTAAACCAAAGCATCTTAAGGCCACTCATGTACATACCAATCATATAAAGAAGAGAGTAAAAACAACGGCAAAAATGAGGAACGGGAAATGGAAAACGGAAAACATGAAGCCGCAGAAAGAAGAAGTACCGTGGCCGAGCGGAGCGATGATGGGGAAATTTGCACCGTGATCGTCATCGGAGTCGCTATCAGGAGCGGCGCCCGGACTAAAGTAGCGTCTGTAGGCAGCTGGTCGAGTCGCTGTGAGGGGCGGAAGCTGGACGGTCGGGCTTATGTGCTGCGTAGAGAGGAAGAAGGCCGCCGGATGGAGCGATCCGCCAAGGTGAGAGCTGAGAAATTTCAAGCGGTTGCGAAGAAGAGATGCTGCCATTGCTGTGATTGAAAGGTTCTTAGGTACTATTAGAAGCTTGTTGAAGACGATAGAGCTAGCTAGGTGCCTTCGGCTATTTTTATACTGCAGGATAGAGAAAACTTCTGATGGAAATGAAAACTAATTGGGCCGTAAAATGGGCTCTCTCTTATAAACCTCACGGATTTAGTAAATTACTCCCTACACAACAGCTTTCAAAATTTATATTAAAAAGACAATACATCTACAATGATTTTCACATTGACGAGAAATGAGAGAATTGGTACAGTATCAAAACAATCAATACGATTTTATAATTAATACTGAATATAGAATGTTGCTTCTTTGTCGGTATCTCAAAATTAATAGGAATCTTGTTTATTTTTTTGGAACTAGTACAGTACCCGTGCGATGCACGGGAGTTTATTATCCCCGTCCCCTTTAAAAAATAATTTTCAGTTAAAATTCAAAGTACTTATTAAAGGAAAGATCATGTCATTAATAATTAATAAATATAATGAAAATAAAATCTATATATTATTGAACATTTTTTTATATACAAAGTTCATGGTTTGATTCTTTGACACGTCATTGTCGCCACAAATTAGGATTTTCAAACCATTTATGTTTGTGACACGAGAGACAACAACATATAACCGGCCATGACAAAATACTGATTTCTTTAGAAATAAGACCACATGTAAATAATTGTCCCTGACTCTTATTTATAGTCATGGCGTAAGAAATCATAATGGGAAACTGCCGACGCTGGAACTTGAAAGGAATTCTAACATCAGAAGAAAATATAGTCATTCTTGGAATCAACACTTCATCACATGCGTGATCGCCAATGAGTATCTTACACTCGAGAACGTGAGTGGAGAGCTTTGTCACAACCATCGTGTCCCAATTTACAGACCCATAGAGGAGATATAGTTATAAAATATCAAGTTAAAAAAGATCGGATAAACTTAAGAAATAAGATCATGCTTATCAATCTTATTATTCAAACCCTTATCCGAGTAGTTACTTGTTTTCTAGATATATATTTGTAACAATCATTAGTAGTTTGGATAGTGTAGATTATATAAATCACTAAATACTGGTATAAAATATAAATTCAAAATTGATTTACGTCAGGTTTTTAAGTTGAGTATGATTTATTTTCCTAAATAATGTGATTACGATTGACTTAAAAAAATATGTTTATCTGTTTTTGTTCAAACAAAAACAAAAAATGTGCAACGTGTTACATGTGTCTCGGATATTGTCGATTATTGAAAATTATGTGTCATATCAATGTGACATAATGTTTACCAAAATTATTAGAGTTTGTTACAATTTAATTTGGTAAAGCTTTTTGGATTGATTGAAAAATAATATTTTTATTTTGATATGTGATCATTTATCAAATCTCGAGATTTTTTCTGCAATATTTAACTCCAAACAATCCGAAAAAATTGTGAAATTTGTTACCAAAAGAAATTCCAAAGATTATCGGCAATATATTGTATGTAAATAACAACGAAGTGTGTCACAAAAAAAAAAACCAATATTTTAAAGGATTTGTGTCATCACAATCCGAGATTTGTAATCACAATCAGATCAAATTTGTTAACAAAATCTTTGATTTATTATCAAAATAAGATTAAATTTGTTACTAAAATCCAATTAAATTGGTTGACATGTTGGGAACATTGATATTGCTTATATTAGTGAGTCAACAATTAATTTTTTATTTTGAAGATAATGTGCCATATCAATGTGATATAATGCTTACCAAAATTAATGGAGTTTGTTACAATTTAATTTGGTAAGACTTTTTGGAATGATTGAAAAATAATATTATTATTTTGATATATATCATTTATCAAATCTCGAGATTTTTTCTGCAATATTTAACTCCAAACAATCCGAAAAAATTATTAAATTTGTTACCAAAAGAAATCCCAAAGATTATCGGCAATATATTGTGTGTAAATAACTATGAAGTGTGTTACCAAAAAACCTGATATTTTAAATGATTTGTTATCAAAATCCGAGATTTGTTATCACAATCTGAGATTTGTTATCACAATCAGATCAAATATGTTAACAAAATTCGAGATTTGTTATCAAAATATGATCAATTTTGTTACAAAAATCTGAAATTTGTTATCAAAAACCCGATCAAATTTGTTACCAAAACATCCAATTAAATTGGTTGACATGTGGGGCCCATTGGTATTGCTTATATTAGTAAGTCAATAATTAAGTCTTTATTTTGAAGATTATGTGTCATATCAATGTGACATAATGTTTAATAAAATTAATGGAGTTTGTTATAGTTTATTTTGGTAAGACTCTTTGGATTGATTGAAAAATATTATTTTTATTTTGATATGTATCATTTTTTAAATCTCGAGATTTTTTCTGCAATATTTAACTCTAAACAATCCGAAAAAATTATGAAATTTGTTACCAAAAGAAATCCCAAAGATTATTGACAATATATTGTGTATAAATAACTATGAAGTGTATTACCAAAAAAACCGATATTTTAAAAGTTTGTTATCAAAATTTGAGATTTGTTGTTACAATCAGATCAAATTTGTTAACAAAATTCGAGATTTGTTATCAAAATAAGATCAAATTTGTTATCAAAATCCGATTAAATTTGTTACCAAAATTCGATTAAATTTGTTGACATGTGGGACTCATTGATATTGCTTATATTAGTAAGTCAAAAATTAAAATTTTATTTTGAAGATTATGTGCCACATCAATGTGACATAATGTTTACCAAAATTAATAGAGTTTGTTATAATTTAATTTGGTAAGGCTTTTTGGATTGATTGAAAAATAATATTTTTATTTTGATATGTATCATTTGTCAAATCTCGAGATTTTTTCTGCAATATTTAACTCCATACAATCGAAAAAATTGTGAAATTTGTTATCCAAATAAATCTCAAAGATTATTGGCAATATATTGTGTATAAATAATTATGAAGTGTGTTACAAATTTTTTTTTTAAAATAAATCGATATCTTAAAAGATTTGTTTATAAAAATCCGAGATTTGTTATCACAATCTAAGATTTGTTATCATAATCAGATCAAATTTGTTAACAAAATCCGAGATTTTTCATCAACATAAGATCAAATTTGTTACCAAAATCCGAGATTTGTTATCAAAATCGGATCGAATTTGCTACCAAAATCTATTTAAATTGGTTGACATGTGGGGCCCATTGATATTGCTTATATTAGTAAGTCAACAATTAATTTTTTAAGTCAAAGTTACTATTTTTGTGTTTTTCCAACAACCTCTTTATATTACTATAGATATCAATTTCTCAAAATCTTATTTGCCAAAAAGAAAAAGAAATCACCAAGAAGCCCTACACGCCCCAATTACCGAGAAACCTCACAACTCCATTTTTTGCACAAGATGTCCATGGCGAAGGAGACCGTCGCTTCAACTGTCTCGAAAAAGCCCTGGTTATGGTCAAGAAGACGTACAACAGACTAGTCGAGTTGGTTGAACCACAAGATGATACACTCATTGAAACGGAAATTGATGCAACATAAAAATAAGTCTAAAACGGGATAAAAATATGTTCAAATATACAAACATACTGCAAAAATATGTTCAGATATAATGTATATATACATTTTAAGTTTTTTTTATTGATTAAAAAATTAAAAATAAAAATTATGTGCATAACAAATAAAAATAAATTGTTGCTTTCTTTAATAAATTGAGAATAGGTATAGTCCAATAGATAGCTAATAGAGAAAATAGTACATTATTCTTTTAATGAACACAATTTTTCTTCCAAGGCTCAATATTGGCTCAATAAATTCAACAAGGACCTTTATATGTGAACATATCACACATTAGAAACATAAGTAAAAAATCTGTATTATTTAAATGGCATCACAATCAACTCCTAACAAATTCAAAATCCAGAGCTGTTGAATCGTTCAAACCGATTTCGGTTCACCGGTCCAACCAGTTTTGGACCGGTTCAAACGCTTCTTGGACGGTTCAATTACCTACCGATTTAATGGTCCAAACCATACCGGATTGAAGGTCAATTTCCGGACTGGTTTTCAAAACCATGGTATGGACTATGGTGTCGTTCCACATATTCTAATATTCTATTATGGCACGTAGAGCGCAAGGAGTAGCAGGAAAGTTGATAGAGTGGGATCGCTGCTACTGTACGATTTTTTAATTTCTTTTCAAAATGCATTACTGTACTGTCGACTTATAATTAAACAACTGGATAAAAGCTTGTTGGTTAAAAATTCTTGTTTCTTCTGAATTTATACATTTTTTAATTAATTTTGTCAAACACATATTTCGTGATTTATTTCTCATCAATTTCCACTTAAGTGACCATATCACACCGATCAAGAAATAGTGAAACATATTATTTTAAAAATAATTAAAAAAAGCGTTTANATATATATCTGTCTGACGACTATGAAAATATTCCAAGCGGGAGAGAATTCTGCATTGCAAGCAAGGAATTATGTAGGTTGACTACGAATATTTGACCATCGTTTTTAATTCTTTCAACCTGTTATTTTGACAATATATATTACTCATTTAAGTTTAAAAATCTATTAATTTCGTCCAATAAAAAAAAAAGGGAAATCTATGAATTTCGTCAAGTAATTAATTAACGAACCTCACTCATTTCAAAAACACAAGAACCCCACTTAAACATGCAGCAGCTCACACAAAAAACACAGTACTATATAAACATCCAAACACAAGTTCATCAAACAGGCCATATATAACATCCGCATGACATAAACCCTAACAGAAATGTTATTCTCCAGATTAATTCTAATTAATACCACTTACTCAACCTTGATGCCCTCTTGATCTTGATATTGGGAATGAAAACTTTCAAAACCCCGTCCTTCAAGTTAGCTGTCATCTGGTCGGTACCCTCCAGTATCCAGCCATCGGGGCTCTCGTACTTCATCTTGGTTTCTTCTTTCTCCTCCTCAAAATCCTTCTTCGTGCCCTCAATGCACAGCTTCCCGCAGGTGATCGACACCTTCACATTTTCCCTTTTCACTCCGGGAAGGAAGGCGTTCATGTGGAGTCCGTCGTGATCAAGCTTGAACTTGGCGCCATAGCCGTTGAGGTCCAAGGGGTCACCACGGTACGAAACTGCAATCACATTTACATTTCAGCAAAAGAAGCACAAAATTATTAGAAGCGGAAAAGGGGTGGGAAAATCACAAGAAAAGGGATCCTGCATACAGAGGCGCAAGATAGATCCAAGCATATATTAAAGAATATAAACGTATCCTGAAACAACCATTTTTTTTTTTTTTTTCTTTTCACTTAAGAGGCAAAATCGACTAGATCTAGGCTACAGGAACAACTAATCGCGAACCACACACATGCACTATTGGTGAATCAAATCCGTTTTCTGTACATACATAAGCTCAAAATGTCTATGAAACAAGTGTAGATCCGAACAGAGCACCAAACGCCAAGACGTTTAAAAGCTAAATCAGGCTTTTCCATATGAAATGAGTGAGCAAAAGAACGAAAAAGTTTCTTTCTATGGATGAACAACTGGAATTTTCAGCTTATTTACAACAAGTTGCGAGTAGGAAACAACAAAACAACACACAAACTGGTAAACCAAAGCAGCTTAAGGCCACCCATGTACATACCGATCATATAAAGAAGAAAGTAAAAACAATGCAAAAATGAGGAACGGGAAATGGAAAACGGAAAACATGAAGCCGCAGAAAGAAGCGAAGTACCATAGCCAAGGAGCCCAGCGATGAAGGGGAGATCCTCACCGTCTTCGTCATCGATGTCGGTATCAGGAGCAGCGCCCGGGCTAAAGTAGCGTCTGTAGGCAGCTGGTCGAGTCGCTGTGAGGGGCGGAAGCTGGACGGTCGGGCTTATGTGCTGCGTAGAGAGGAAGGAGGCCGCCGGATGGAGGGATCCGCCAAGGTGAGAGCTGAGAAATTTCAGGCGGTTGCGAAAGAGAGATGAAGCCATTGCTGTGATTGAAAGTTCTTTGGTAAGCTTGTTGAAGACGATAGAGCTAGCAAGGTGCCTTCGGCTATTTTTATATTGCAGGATAGAGAAACTTCTGATGAAAATGAAAACTATTGGGTCGTGAAATGGGCTTTCTCTTATAAACCTCACGGATACTTGACATCCGGCCCAAAACTGCTTCGAATAGCATGACATTTTGTTATATTTTTAGTAATCAAATTTATAATTACACTGACTGGATTTTTTTTAGATGTAGTAGCTTTTTAACTAAGTTTAGTTGTTTTTCCTCTTCTCTTTATCTTCCTTGTTTTCTATTAGTCCCATTATTGGGTTTGATACAGTGTAAGTTGCAAATGTTAACAAGGATCTCATCCTTCTGCTAATTTATTTATTTATTTATTTTTTATTTTATTTTTTTTTTTTGATAATGTCAAAAAATATCTAGAGCATGATATTTCAAATGAAGATAAAGTAATGAGATAGATTTCAGATTTACATGTGGTATAATGTTATACCATGCGCCCCAAAATATATTGAATACACGTAGATACATTGCGTTCGCTAGATTACAAGTGCAACTGTTTTGAGGCAACAGGAGACCCTTGGGATTCAAGAGTGGCAATCCATTCCTTAATGATTGAGTTCACATCATTTGGCAGCTCATCGTGTGGGCAATGCCCTACATAAGACAGTGCCAGTATAAGCAAGTTACATATATGGAGGGCCAAAAAACTAAATAAATTAACAAAATAGTGGAAAAATTACCGGCGTCGATTTCTTTTATTGTAACACCTCGGAAGTGCTCTCTAAACATAGCCAACATCGACTTGTTGTCGGATAGTGGATCCTTCATGCCCTAATCAAAAGCAGACAATAGTTTGCATAAAGAGAAAACGCAGCAGTGGAAAACGAAAGCCAGTTAGAGGTTTCAGAAAGTATACAGCACCTGTATTACAAGGATCTTCTCTTCAAATCCCTCCAAAAGGTAATTCAAAGGAAGTGAAAGATCAAAGCAAAAGATGCTTTCCAGAACAAAAATCACACCAGGGTCATAGGACTGCAGAATTTGTTAAGAAAGAGTATCATGCCATGTTTATGTACTATAATGAGTAGAAAATAGAGTTTAGAAGTAATTCTACTTGTCTCCTGAATATATTTTGAAGGATACAGCTCTAATCATCTCGTTCGTGAGCCAATCATCTGCTCTTTTGGTTTTCTGCATTTTGTGAAACTACGAATTAGTAAAATAATAACATAACAAGAATCCAAAGTACTGCCATCCGTAACCTTACTATTGGATAGAATCTCTTCAGTATATTCCTGATATTGAACCTTAAGTACAACAAAAGAAGTCTAGAACCCAACCACCCTGCACCTGAACTTTGCCTATCCTGAAATATCAAAAAAACACTGGTGAGGATTAAGGTGGTGAGCATGAAAAAGCAAGAACAAATGAAAATCCTATACAGGTTTATCAGTTGTTCATGTGCTTGTAATCAGATAACGCATAACTAGGTCAACTAGCCAGTTTAACATGCACGCAATTCCAACAGATAAAAAACCATAAATGACGAGGAAACAACCGTGAGCTATAAGTTTGTGCATCACTTACTTCTGAATAGCCCAAAGGAGAATATTCAGGATTAACTTTGCCAGCACTGTTCATAAGGACAACAGACTTGACTACAGAAGACCAAAGACCAGCGACAATAGAAACAGAATACCCTGCAGTCGAGTGACCATCAGTCAAATAATCAGTTGTCTATGGAGGTGGAGCATATGTCAAAGCAAAAGTCTCAATTTATATTACTATATTTTCTTTCTGTGCTTTTTTAGTTCTACATTTTCTTTTTTCCCTTTATTTAAAGCCAGCTTAAGATGTAACATTTGTCTTCTAGGGGTTTCACGTGATATACCACCAATTGAGTTCCCAACCAGATGGACAGGCTCCCCAACAACCTCAATTATAAAGTCCCGAAGCAGCTCAGCCCATACGAGTTCAGTGTATATGATATTTGGTTTTTCTGATTTGCCGAAGCCAAGTAGTGAGATTGCCCAAACTCTATTTCCAGCTTCGGCTATGGGATATATGTTATCTCGGAAATGCTCCAGAAATGCCCCAAAGCCATGTACAAGTAGAACAGCCGGACCTTCATGACCAGCTGCTGTGTACTGAGAACATGGAATTGGATAATTGGTTGACCAGGTAAAGACAATTAATAGAGAATAAACCAGAATGGTTCCCGCACAGATTGAATATGCAGATGCTCACTTGGATTAAATAATTCCTCCATCGCCATATTCTAATCGAGAAATTTCCTGCCTCGTTTATTAGGCCTCTCAATGTCAGAAGCCAGTACCACTGCTCAAAGAAATATTTCATTTTAGATGTACAATCATCTTAAGTTATTGAGTTCAGAGATTATGAAGCAGCACATTGCCTCGAGAGTAATGGTACCTCCATGGAAGACACAGTATTTATTGTTGCAGCCACTGTAGCAGTCGAATAACCAAATGGGGATAAGAACCCACCATTTCTTTCTTTTTCATATTTAACCGCTTCAAAATACACTCTTCTTCTGGAAATAATGCCAAGTAGAAGGGCAGAACCGAAAAGGGCCTGAAATGAAGCGCCTTCTCTTTTTTCAGCAAGACGTAGCTTTTCATGTACCCTACATTTTTTTGTTTATATTTTTGACAAAACTAGTAAGTTTCAGTGGATGCTTTTGCAATTAGGTCTAAATATAAATAAATCCTGAAGTAGACGGTTTCAGAAAATAGAATACAATGCCGAAATTCAGAATTTCTGAAGCACACATTACAGGGACGACACAATCTACAGTCTATCTTGTAGCCTCTTGAAAATTAAATGGCAGCAATTCCATTCCCTTAATTTCCACACTTATTAAGTCATTCTAGTTTATGATTCCTGCAACATTACGTAACATGTCGTAAACCTTTTTAGTTTTTATTCTTTATCAAAACACAGGGTTTCAAAAGATCAGCATAGAGCTACATAAGTATATATGCAGAATGAGATGAAAATTACTGAAGGAAATGGCTGAAATGATATAATGCAGTTCACAAAGGCCAAACAAGTGCAAGCTACTGAGTTCTTCGGTAATATATATATAAAATTAAAAATAATAATAAGAAGAAGAAGAAGGATGAAGAAGAATTATAAGTAATTACACAACCACTCCTGCAGATGACCACAGCAAGGCCAACAACTGTGCCAGCTGAATATAATGCTAATAAAGCAAATAGGACTTCTGTACTATACGTCAATGATCTCAATATATTATTTACATTTTACCAATTAGAATATGTAAAGAAACACCAATGATGAAGAAATGAGAAATTCAAGACTCAGATCTTGTATACCTACTCTTGCCATTCATCTCGAGCAGTACCTTCCAGGTATCGTAGATATGCCGCTAGACCATTCAACACAGAACTAGATCCACCTCCGACAAAGCTCCCTTGGCTAGTTACAAATACTGATTTTTCTGATCTCTTTCTCTTGGAGGCCTTACTACCAGATTCTAGTTCTAATGGCTTCAAGTCAGGATTTCCTCTTAGCTTTTTCCTCTGAAGCAGAGTTTCAGCAGAAAACTTGCTTATTTCAGTCCATTTTTCTGTGTCGCCACCATCAGAAATATCATCGATATATTCGTTTACATCATCCAGGGAGGGAATTATACCTAATCATAAATGGTGATCATATCTCAGCAGCAACAACTAAACATGGAAAAATTGGAAGCTAAGTTATGAATTATCTACCCCAGGACAAATTTTTAGCAATCCCAGGCAATTCTGGTTGCATAACTGGGGAGGTAACAGGAAGGTTTAGCTTCTTGAAGTCATTAAACGATGACGGGATATCCTTCAAACTCTACAAGGACATACCAAAACCAATACAATATACCATATTTCATTAGAACAACAATATTAACAATGAGAACTGATATGATATATGTAATAGTAGTGTGCACAACATTAATGTGTAGGTATTTACATATTACATAGTAGCAGCAGCAATAGTAGATGTAAAACTTACAAGATTCTAAATTAAACGAGGCAAGTACCTTAACATCATAAAATGGGGTGGTCCAAGTCACAATATTAGGGATCCCTTCCTCAAGAGATAAAGTCGAAAGTGACTCCCGAATAATATCTAGCATTGCACGAAGCTCATACTCCACCTCATCTTCAACAAAAATGCTGCAGGCTTGGACCTGTTATGATTTTCAGGTACGAACATAATAGTAAGCAGAAGGACCTCGAATTTTTCACATCATTCTTTCATGCTCTAAAAAGAAACTATATTAGAATTAGCACATGAAATATATTTAACCACCTCTTTGACTAATTCACCAATGACATTCTCTGCCCTCCCAAACCTGATCATCAGATCAATCCCCTTCTCTTTTAGTAACTTCCTCAAATCCTCCAAAGCAAGGATGAGAAGTTCTAGCATTTCATCCGAGAATCCTACAAAAACAAAGTCCTAAATCAGTGCAAGAGATAACCATAAAAATCTATAAAACACAAAAAAACGAAGGATCATACATCAGCAAAACCACAACATTATTAATCTAGCGACAAAACGGTCCTCGAATTTCATTCAAGTTCACCAATAGCACTAATTATCAGCATAAGGTAAATGTACAAGCATTCGCAAGCAAATGACGTTAGTTTAAGTCCCTCAAACACTTACGCGAGAGTATACGGCGGTCGAACACGTAAAGAGGCAAAACGCGGCTGTGCTGAGAGGCGGCGATGAGCCCGGGGTGGTCCTCGATGCGAAGGTCGTGTTTGTACCACAGAATGGCGGTACCTCTGCTGCCCTCCGCACTGGATTCCACCTTCATATTAACGGCTGAGCGGAAAATCGGACCCTTCCTGAGAATGCTTGTCCCAGGGACATGGAGAAAGGAGGAGGACGGTTGCGATAAAGAAGCGCCATTGCAGTAGGAACTTGAGTGTGAAATCTTGGGGTTCGTGGGAGAGGTGAAACCCATTATAGAAGTAGATTCAACCAGTAAATTTCACGTACTACATGGCTAAAGTGATTGTGGCGGAGAAAATGCAGCTTCAGATATTTTTGTGCCTTGTGGTTTTTGTGATGGAGAATTTGTGTGGACTTGGTGTCAGTGAGTTGGAGACGAGAGTTG